CGAAGTTCGGCGCCAACGAGGTGACCCGGCACAAGTTCTGCACCAAGCTGAAGAAGGAGGTCGGCGACAGCACGCCGACGACCCAGCTCGAGAAATGGATGGAGAAGTATGCGGAGTCCGTCCTGGCCATGTCTGGCTGAGGACGTCGGGCTGGGCTGTCGCGGTGGCTGCTGGCAGCGCAGCAGCGCAGGCCGCGCCTCGCCTCCCGTGGCGAGGCTTCTTGCCAGCAAATGTCCTATGCATTCCATTTCCCGTGTATGCCGTCTTTCCTCTTGATCCTGTATCCGTAACCCACTTGTTTTTATGGTCAATGTCCGCCCGATTCATCCAGGTGCCTTGCTTACTGTCTACTGCCTGCTGCTACTACCACTCCTTCTGCTACTGTTACTACTAGTGTTACTGTTGTTACTGATACTACTACGACTACTACCACTACTGCTACTACTACTACTACTACTACTACTACTACTACTACTACTACTAGCACTGCTAGTATTAGTCTTACTACTACTCATACTGCTACTACAGGTTATTATACTTTTAATTCTAGTGCTACTACTACTACTACTACCACCACACCAATACATCAACAACAACTGCTACAACTATTGCTACTACTACTACTACCACCACTACCACCACTATTACGACTGCCAGTACCACTACTACGATTACGACTACAATTACTATTACTATGGCTGCTGCTACTAGTACTAGTAACATAATGGCGAGGATGGGGACGATAAGGAGGTATGCGCGAAGGAGGACAGAGGGACGAGGGAGGACAGAAGCGATGGAGGAGGACAAATGCCGAGGGAGTGAGGACCACGACGGTGGAGAAGGACTAAACGGCGAGGGGGGTGCAACCGTCCTCTGCCCTCTGCCCGTCTGCTCCAACTGCCCTCTCAGCATCCCCTTGCCTTCTCTACCTTCCCCTCGCTCTCTCATTTTTCCTCGTCTCCTCATCCTTCCAGTCCGCTTGCCTCCATCGCATCTTCCACTCTTCCCCAAACCTACTCCACTTCCCCTGCCCCCCTCTCCTCCTCCACTCCTCCTCCTCCTCCTCCCCCCTCCGCCTTTTTCGGTGTTGCGCCAATGCCAAAACTGGCGGAGTTGGCAACTTCTGACGCTGGCGGGCGCTGCAGTTTCATGGTGCAACCCCGATCGTTGAGAAGCGCATCGATCATGCGGCGGCGCATGGCTCCACAGTCCAGTAGCCCATCGGATGGGCAGTGGAAGACCAACCCTAGCAGGTAGCGCCAACTAGGCGCCGAACAACCACCACCCGCTTGAACGCCACAGTGTCCGTGGACTGTCCAGTAGGCACGTCCCCGACCACGCGGCGCCTCCCAGTGGAACGCCATGCGTCGTGCAAGCCTGGCCAGTGCCAGCTTCCAGCGGGGACAACACACCTTGCTTGCTGCATGCATATGGCATGACACGCGCCGTTTTTCAAAGAACCTTGGAGGAAACCTCGAACACAATTGTTTTAAACACAAAGAACTTTAAAACAACTTCGAAAGAACTTTTTGCATATTTCAGCGATCGGGGGGCTGTCCCAGGCCAGCGCTGACATAACTCCAGTCCGTGAGCGGCTCTGGTAGCTAGAGCCTCCCCGACAGCGTGCGAATGGTGATGGGGCCGCCTTTGTCCAGGAACCGCTCCATCTCGGTGGGGAGCGTGAGGTCGGGCCACGAACCTTGGCACTCCAGGCGGCGATGCCAGAGCGTGCCCAGCTTGCCAGGGCGCAGCGAGCAGGCATAATAGGAGCTGAGGCCAGCTGCACACCGCCGCTCGTGGAGCCATTGGTCGTCAACAAGGCATGGCCTGGCATATCCCGCTTCGCTCGGCGTAAGAGAGCGCCACGCCCTGGCGAGCTCGGCGGAGCCTCGACCCGCCGTGGCCCACCGATGCACCCGCGACAGAAAAAAACACCGCCTGCAGCATAGGTGTCGTGCTGCGTGGACTTCGCCAACCGAGCTAGCTGCCATGCTTCCACGCCCCTCGTGGCCAACTGCTTGACGGTCCAGGGAGAACCCGCCGCCAGGTTGAGTTGGTCGCCCGCGCCGGTGAGCCAGTGGGTGAAGGAGCCGAGCTTGAAGCCGATTCTGCGGAGCGACACGATTGCTGCGCCGAGCGGCCCTCGCACATCACCCCAATGCTTGGCGACGCGGACGTTCCACTCGAACGTGCTCTGCAGGATGGTGTTCGGGGTCCAATTCTCCCACCCAGTTTTGGCCAGCATCATGACTGGCCCCAATGTCGCTGCGAAGATCGGGCCGAGCGTCTTGGACCCTGCCAGCATCACTACGGCCGTGGCGTTCTTGCTTGATGGCTGCTGCTCCACATCGCGCAGCGTGAACGACCTCATCCTGGAGAGCTCGCTGTGGTTGATGCTAGTGCAGTTCACCCCGTACATAGCAGAGGGATGGAGCCCCCGTGTGCTAGCAGCCTACTTGCGGACAAACTTCAACGGCTGGTGCACGAGCCACCGGTTCCAGGGCGCTGGCCCTTGCCGGTTCGCTTGCGGCGGCGGCCGGGACAAATTGGAGCACTTCGCGTTCTGCCCCACTGTGAAGGCACTGTTTTCTGAGTTCCACCTTCCACCTTCTGCGTCCGGCTTAGAGCTGGACACTTTTTTAGGGCTCCAGGAGTTGCCCGTGCAGGTGGGCACCTCTCCGGCTCTCCTGTGCCAGCGGCAGGGGGTAGCATTGTATGCTTTATACCGTCTGCACGGGGCTCTCCGCCATGGAGTGGTGGCGGCCGCGCACATTCCCGGCGCCTTCAGGGAATACTGCCGCCAAGGCGCCACACGTGTTGACCAGGAAGACGATTAGGTCCGGCCTCTTTGGGTACGTGTTTCACTTGTTCCTCCTCCTCCTCCTCCTTTTCCTCCTAGCATCATGTTGTGTCAGATTTATTAGTGTGGCCGTTTGGGCCACCTAGTAGGGGTTAGAACACAACCTTTGTGCACCCGCGGGGCCGATACGTTTCAAAGGGAAATCGTATCATTCGCCATCCGGGTTTTTTTTCGCCTCCCTCTCCTCCGCCTCCTCCTCCTCCTCCTTGTCCCCCCCCCTCTCCTCCGAAACGGTGGCCCGAGTTTCGGCCACGTTCGCCGGACAGCTTCTGTCCGCTGGATGCCTGACTCTCTCGCAGCCTTGGCATTGCACGTGCACTCGGCAACTTGACAAGTGGTGAGTTGATCATTGGCTGTCAAGAAACAAAAAAATAGCAGAGGGATGGAGCCCCGCGAAGGCCACATTGGCCGCTGCCGTGCGCCCGCGCCGCAAGCCCAAGAAACCCCTCAGGTTGCCCAGGCGCAACTCGGCGTTGGCAACCCGCTGCTGCCTGAGAGCCCTGGCTGCACGGAGTCCTTCTGCGTGATCAATGCCCAGGTTGCGCGCATTCCGAGCACCCTGAATGACAGCAATCTTGAGCAGCCGTTTGCTCACCTGCCTGCAGAAGCGGCTTATGTTAGCCAGAGCCTTCGACTTCTTGACTGCGACCTTAAGCTTGACCAGCTTGAGCTGGCCCACGAGGACGCGAGTGGCGCCGACCAGTTCGGCCTGAACCCTCTGGGGGCCTCCCGAACGCTGCAGGACCAAACCAACCACCACGACGCGTGTGAGAGATGATGCGCGGAGAGCCATCTAGGGACAACGGGGGGGCACCGAACAAGATTGTGTACTACTAGTTTGTGTGCTTCTTCCGTTCCTTAAAAGGAAAGGGGAGGTTCATGCCGCTGACGATGATGATGCTGTTGCTGCTGATGGTGATGTTGGTCCTGTTGACTGTTGATGATGATAATGTTGTGATGATGGTGGTGGTGCTGATGATGGTGATGACGGTGGTGATACTGTTGATGATGGTGTGAGGCTGATGGTGATGGTGCTGTGATGATGCTGTTGCTGATTACGATGATGCTGATGAAGGTCATTATGATGATGTCGATGTTGGTGATGTTGATGTGATGGTGATGGCGTTGGTGATGTCAATGATGATGTTGACGATGCTGATGCGATGCTGATAGTGTTGATGATGGTGATGATGCTGGTGGTGATGATGATGATGTGGTGTGGGTGATGCTGGTTGTGGTGATGATGATGCTGATGTGATGATTATGTTGATGACCACGATTCTCATGATTTGGATGGCGGTGCTGATGCTGATGATGATGCTGTGGTGATGATGATGCTGTTAATGCTGACCATCATGGTGCGTTCCGGCTGGTGATGGTGATTGTGATAATGATGACGGTGGTGATGATGATGTGGTGTTAATGAGTATGGTTTTGATGGTGCTGATGTTGATGGTGATGGTGGTGGCGATGAGGATGATGACGATGATGATGACGATGACGATGCTGATGACGATGATGATGATGATGACGATGATGATGATGATGATGATCAGCATCATCATCATGATGACGCGATGATTGTGACGATGACGATGACGACGCTGATGATAATGATTATGATACTGATGATGAGTCTGTTGCTGCTTCTGCTGCTGCTGATGATGATGTTAGTGGTGATGCTGATGCTGATGGTGATGCTGATGATGCTGATGATGATGCTGATGCAGATGACGATGATGATGCTGATGATGCTGATGGTGATGGTGATGGTGATGCTGATGATGCTGATGCTGATGATGACGATGCTGATGATGACGATGGTGATGATGATGGTGATGATGATGATGATGATGCTGATGATGACGATGCTGATACTGATGATGACGATGCTGATGATGACGATGATGATGATGATGAGGATGATGATGACGATGATGATGGTGATGATTAGACGAAGGAGGAGGAGAAGGAGAAGGATCATGATGGGGGAGAAGCTGCGGAGGGGGAGGGGGAGGCGGAGGAGACGGTGGCGGTGGAGGAGACGGTGGAGGCGAAGTAGGAGGAGGAGGAGGAGGAGGAGCAACCCGCGCCGAGTAACAATAATGGCTCTTGCTCACCCTGGCCGCCTCCAGCCCAGGCTTCCCGACGTCGCCGCGCGGCGGCAGGGACGTCGGCATCGGCGAGGAGCCGCCGCCGACGCGGCAGGGAACTGCGAGGGGAGGAAGTGTCTTTCCCCTTCCCCTCTCATCCCCTTCCTCTTCGATCTCCCTCTGCCTCCGCCTTCCCACCTCCACACTTAAACCATAGGACTGCTGCTCTCCTTTTACCCCTGAAGTTGCCAGGAAGATGGTGGGCCCCCTCCGCGTTTTTTTTATTTTGAACACAGGGGTTAAACACTTATGTGTTTTTGTTCCGTTTGTTGTCTTTCATGAGACGATTGTTCGCCATGTTTCAAAATGGTGTTCCCGCTGCAGCGTGAACCTCATTTTCGGGTCGGCACTTTGCACCTGTCTTTCAGAATGGCGCTCTTGCCCCAGCGCGGGCCATCTTTCTGGATGCGAGTCGTTCCTCAATGTTGTCGCCGCCTCCTTTGCCCTCCTCCGCATTCCTCTGGTCCGCCTATTCCTCCCGCTCCTTCCACTCCAGTTCCTGCTGATATTCGTCTTCGTGCTTTTCCTCCTACTCATCCTCGCGCTCACCCGCCACCTGATCCTCCTCCTGTGCACGCAGCTCCCCCCGCCCAGTTTGCTCATAACACAATGTGATCTCTTGGCCGGAGTTGCAGGTTGGCGATGACACGCTTCCGCAGATAGAGAAATCATCGGAGCAATGGGAAGGATTGGGAGGGAGGGATAGGATGTCCGAAGAGGCGCGTGCGGAACATGCGGAGAGAGGGGCGAAAGGAGGGGGGAGGATTAGGAGGACGAGGAGGAGGAGGAGGCGGAGGCGGAGCAGGATCTCGTTCATTCTGGGCTGGGTTCCCCGCCGGGGTGGTGCGAGTCGGTGGCTGGCCGGTAGCAGCTACTCCTGCCTCATGGCCTCGAACCGTTTTTTTGCGCGAGATTCCCAGGGGCCGCCTCCCGATGTTCGATCATCCTCCCCACCTTCCTCCCCGTCCCCCGTTCCCCTGCCGCCTCGTCGGCCTTCCCTTAAGTCGGGCCTGTCCCGCTACAGAAGGAATATTCAAAAATAGTAAAACAATAGTATGGGGACGATATGTTTTGATTATTTTGGTGTATTTGTTATTTTCAATTTTTCGCCCAAGATCCCCCTGTAGGGGGACAGGCCCGACCTAAGCCGTCCCCCGCGCACCAGCCCGACGACCTCGGCATGCAGAGCCAGATGGACGCCGCGATCGCCGCGAGTTTCGCGGCGCAGACGGGCGCGGGGATGGCGCAGACGGACGACGACTTGCTCGCGCAGGCTTGGCCGTCGTCGGACCAGTACAGAGGAGGAGGAGGAGGAGGAGGAGAAGGAGGAGGAGGAGGAGGAGGAGGAGGAGGAGGAGGAGAGACTGACGAGGAGGAGAAGGACAAGGAGGAGGAGGAGGCAGGCAGGTTCGGCGTTGACCGTCAGGAGGACAAGGTGCCGATGCCGCTGGTCCACCCTCCATTTCGCTTTTTGGAACTCTGGGGAGGCCCTCGTCGCCACGGGTGGATTCGCCTCGAGCATCTGGTCAGAACGCTCCCCAGAGAGGTCTGGGGCTTGCGCGAGGCTGTGTCTTTTGCCGAGGTAAGTTGATCCATGTCGAGGTTCGGCCCTTCGATCTGGACCAGTCTGTCCCTCCTCACCCGCTGGTGAGTTGATGTGAGTTTCCGTTATCTATGCTCTGCTCGGCAGGACGCCAAGCCGTTTGAATTCATGTGCGTCGCAGGAGGAGGAGGAAAGGAGGAAGTGAGGAGCAGGAGGAGGAGGAGGAGAACAAGTGGAAACCCAAGAGTTACCAACGATGTCGAAATAAACCGTCCCTCCAAGCTCCCTCTGCATATGCCCCTACAACGGTTCATTTCCACTGAGGGAACTGCCTCGATGGAAGACAACCGTTGAAGACCCTGAAGCATGCCAAATCAATGTTTTCGGGACTCCAACGCCACGGATCAACCTGACTGTTGCGTCTTGACGATCGTGAATCGCGTCAGAACACAATTCTTGATACTTCAACACAGCGAATGAACGTAACTGTTGCACCCTCAGAATCCTGAATCCTTTCAACCACACACTTTTTGGTACGCTGATCATGGGAACCCGTGAAACCGTCGCAGATGTTTAATATGAGTGAGCCACAGTTTAAAAAGAATCCGCCCTCAATCCGTGGAACTCTTGCTGCATTTTTTTACGAATGCGCGCGGCGCTAAGGCGGGAGCCGTATTCTGAAAACGACCCGCCCTCAATCCGAGAAATTCTTGCAACTGTTTTCAACGAATGCGCGCGGCGCTAAGATGGGAGCCGTATTCTGAAAACGACCCACCCTCAATCCGGCAAATTCTTGCAATTGTTTAGAACGAATGTGCACGGCGCTAGCGCGGTAGCCACATTTTGAAAACGACCCGAACTAAATATGTGAAGCTCTTGCAAATGTTTAAGACGAATGTGCGCGGCGCTGAGGCGAGAGCCACGTATTGAAAACGACCCGCCCTCAATCCGTGAAGCTGTTATCATTTTGCAAGCTTCAGGGTCATAAAGGGTGAGGAAGTCTCTGGCGAAACGCCCGGTCCGCCCTAAACAGTTGCCTCGGGGTGCGACAGGGAGACATTATTTACAAGGACAAGGAATAGAGTAGGAGGAGGTGGAGGATGGGGCCCTCCTTGGGCGTTTGTGGTGCCTCTTTGGCCGTCCTGACGCCACCTTGGATGTTCTGGAAGCCTCTCCGGCGCGTCGGGAGCCCTTTTTGGGCCGTCGGGGAGGGCAGGGCTTTTCCGGCATCTTGGAGGCGACGGAGGGCGGATCTGGAGGCTCCGAGGGCCTGGGAGGAGCCCTGACGAGTTCCCAGCCCCCTCTAGAGATGGGGGTCACACTGTCGCAGTATCAAGTTCATCAGCAGGGTAAAGCTAACCCGTCTCACGACGGTCTAAGCTTTGGCATTTCTGCGTCTCAATGATAGGAAGAGCCTGGGAGAGGGACAGCCAAATGTTTCACAGACCTTGTCACTCCTGGCAAGCGGGGTTCGGCGGATCCACGCGGCTTGCGCCGTTCCACCGACCCTCGGACCAGGGAGTGTGCGGCTTCCGATTTCGTACCTGTTGTTTGTGCCGCTTTCAGTCGTGCTGCCTGCGTGTAACTGATGCTGATTTATCCTCCTTCTTCCCCCGCGTGTTTCGCGGGCTTCTCGGGGACCTCGTGGAGGCTTTTGGGGCGGCATCATGTTTTGTTTGTTCCAAGCGCCTTGCGGTCTTGTTCGGGCCCTCTGGTGGCTCCTTGGGGGCCTCTCAGGAGGTCCGTTTTGGGGGCCTCGGGCTGTTCTGGCGCCATCATGGAGGCCTTTTGGGCGATCTTGGGGCGATGTTTGGGGGCTCTAGGGCCGTCTCGGGCCGTCGGAAGGCCGAAGGGACGCAAATGCCAAAACCCTTCAACGACCTTAGGAATAATCAATGGTGCTGGCCTCTTCGGGTCTTCCTGGAGGACCTCGTGGAGTCTTGGAGGCCTCTTGGGGGCAACTCGGAGCGTCTTGGGCCATACTGGAGCTAGCTTGGGCAGTCTTGGCGGCTTCGTGGGCGGGCCTGGAGGTACCTTGGACCCTCTTGGAACATCTTGGATGCCATCTTGGTCCTTTTTGGGGTAAACTTGAGAGTCAACGTGACCATCTTAGAGGCCATCTTGAGCCGTCTTGGATATTTTGTTGTGGTTGTTGTGCTCGTTTATGGTTTTCTTTCGGGTGGCCGGCGCGCTGGACCGACACCTCAGGGGGAGTTCTTGTGGAACGAACCAACGCCCAGAGCGTAGGATGGCCAGCGCGCCGGGAACCCTTGTGGCAAGCCAACAGGGGGCAGCGGATCGAAGACGCCTACGGCGAGTCACCGCCGCCCCCTGCCTCTTTAGGAGCGCCTATGTGGCCGAACGTTGATGCCAGACCTGCCAAGTTATCGGACCATGTGTTCCCCGAAACGGTTTGGAAAGCCTTCGGGGAACACGTGGGCATCTTGAAGGTCATCTTGGCCGTCTGGAGGCCATTTTGAACCTTTCGGGCCTTCTTGGAGGACGTCTTGGAGGTCTCTTGGGCCGTCTTTGAGGCCATCTTGAGCGTCTTGGAGGCCTCTTGGGGCCGTCTGGGGCCTCTTGGGAGATCTTTTGGGGCACTTGGGCCATCTCGGGCCGTCGGAAGGCAGAAAAATAAACAACTGCCACAATCCTTCAACATCTCATTCGAAATCAATGGTTTTGGCCTTTTCGGGCCTTCCTGGAGGTCCCTTGAGGGTCTCTTGGGCCGTCCTGGGCCATCTCAGGGCCATCTTCGGCCGTTTTGGTGGGTTCCTGGCCCGTCCGACGCCGTCGGAAGCCGTTTGGGGGGCCGTCTGGGCCGATTTGGGGCCCTCTTGGGATGCTCCAGGGCCGTCTTGGAGGCCATCTTGGGCGCCTTCAACGCCTCCTGGGCCGTCTTGGGGGCCTCTGGGGGCCGTCTTGGGGGTCTCTTTGGCCGTTCTGGGGCCATCTTGGGGGCCTCTTGTGCGATCTTTGGGCGATCTTTAGGGGCTCTTGGGCCGTCTCGGGCCGTCGGAGGGCCGAAAAGAAGCAGACATGGCAATCTTTAAAAACCCTAAGGGAAATCAGCGTTTGGGGCCCAGTTTCGGCTGCTCTGTGTTCCGAGCGTGCGGTCAGCTTCGGCCTCTGTAGCTCTCGACAGCTCATGCCCGTATGGTGGAATCTGCGCCGTCAGGTCTTTCTTTGCCTGGCCACTGTCGCCCCCTAGCCAGTGGCATCGGGGCAGCTGATCGCGGATGTTGAAAGAAGTCTTCTCCTCTTCGTCCTCCTCCCTTTCTGCCCGGCGAGGCGCTTCGCATGTCGCAGCAGGAGGAAGATTGCCGGCAGCGCCAGCATTTGCGAGAGCAGCAGGAGGTCAGCCGCCGGGAAGTGGTTGTGGCGGGCGCGACAATGTCTTTCCATTCCTTGTTCGCCATTATTGTTCCTTCCTTCGTGGCCTCCTCCTCGCCCTGAAATCCTTTGGTGCGGGCCGTAGTTCAGTATTGTTTGGTATATTTTGAAAGCGAGGGTGGTCGAAAGCGAGGTAGGTTCGGTTGCTTTTAAGATCCGTCGCCTTGCCCGAGGACCTCGTCAGCACAAATGTCAGGATCTGGGCCCCCCCGCAAGTCCTCCGAACCCGCGCCTGTCCTTCCCGCGGCAGTCATGTTCGCTTTGACCTTGTCGGGATACTTCGAATAGTTTCGATCTTCATAAACACGCGTTTTCGGGACTCCGGTGCTGGGCCCTCTTTGTCCGCGTCTTTAGCGTTCAAGGTTCATGTTTCGTTGCAGCGTCTGTCAGGGTAATGGTCTGGCCGTACCTGCACTTTCTCTTGAATCCCAATTACGCGTGATGTTGAACATTACAAGTTTTGCTCCTACCTCCACTGGACTGCCGACTACGCTACCGAAGTACAGTCAACCCTCATGGTGAAGATTTTCGACTTTCCACAGTTCCACTTGCACCCTTCCTCTTCGGCCCGTCCTTGGCCCCTTTCGCTGGCCGCGCCCCGCTTGCAAAATGTCGGCATGTCCTCCCAAGGCCCCCTTGCATCCTTATCGTGCGCCCTTACAATACGGGCTGACTATGTCTGTGCGAAAATTGCATGTGCCAGCGGCTTCTGTGTACAACAACGCTTCGACCTTCCAGAGTTTTCCCTATAGCCTGTTCCGACGCCAGCTACCATGTTTGTGCTGTAATAAATAAATACACATGCGTACACACATATACATATAGTATATACATAATATATATATATATATATATATATATGTATATATGTATGTATATGTATATGTATATGTATATATATATATATATATATATATATGCATATATACACGAAAAAGCCGGGCCCCCTCCCGGGGCGTCTTCCACCTCGATTACATCTGGATTGCACTCCCGGCGCGCGCTTCCCGGCCTCCCATGGAGCCCCCAAAACGCCCAAAGACAGCCCAAGACGACCCCAAGAAGCCCCCAGAACGTAAAAGAACGCCCCAAGACGCTCCCAAGCAACCCAAGATAGCTTTCGGGCGGCTCTCAGGCTCCCAGGAGGCCTCCAAGAGACCTCAAGAGAGCTCCGAGAGGCCTCCCGAGAGCGCCCGGAGAACCTAAAATCGTTGATTGTCATTGTTTTGGTTAAGTTTTTTGGCCCTTCTCATCATTTCATGCTTCCAACGCTCCAACACGGCCGAAGAGGCCCCCAACACCGCCCCAAGACCGCCCAAGAGACTCCCAAGACGGCTCCAAGACGGGCCAAGACGGGCCCAAGGTTGCGGAAGAGGCGCCCAGGACATTTCCAGACCACCTCCGAACAGGCCCAAGGTGAGCCCAGGAGCGGGAGCAGGAGGCCTCCAGAGACCTCCGAGAGGACTCTGGGACCCCCCAGGGGCCTCCAACACAACACCTCAGACCCTTGAGAGGCCCACAAAGAAGCCCCGACGAGGCCCCCCAAACAGCCCAAGAGAGCTTCGACAGCCGTCCCGAGAGAGCCCAAAGAGGGTAAACTCGTTGATTTCCAATAGTTTTTGTCGAGTTCGCCTTCTCACGTTTACCCGCTTCCAACGCTCAAGGACCGAGGAATTTGGAAAACAAGCAAATTCCAGAGATTCCCTTGTTTTTCAAGTTGGGGCTCCTACTCCCTATCCTCTTCCCCGAGCCCCATCAAGACTTCGGAGTCACATGCAAAGATGTTTCGGGACTATTGTTGAATTGTCTGACGCTGTCTTGGCACTCTCTTGGATCGTCTTCTCGTCCTTTTGGCTGCCTCTGAAACCATTGTAGAACTCGAGATCCCATGACCCCATGAGTTGAAACAGTTAAATTTCCTTTTCACTTGAAACTCACCACCTTATTTTTGCACGGAGATCCCGAGAGGCGTCCCAACGGACCGTGGCCTGTATTCAGAAAACTTTAACTCACAGCCCAGGCACGGCAACTTGAACAAAAAACTGGAACCCCACAATTCCTTGTTTTTTTTAACGTTCGCCCCTTGTCTACTCTTGCACAACAAACGACAATTAAGGCCCCCCTCAGCTCCCAGAAAAGAAACCAGGAAGCTTCGGGGGGCCCCACATCGTTGAATACTTAACGGAACTTAATGGTTTCCGCGTTTCCACAGTTCCCCTCCTATACAGTTCCGAGGCTTGCGCAGGGCCTCCTAGAGAGTCCTTGGATGCAAGAAGCGACAAACATGATATTCCATGATTTAGCCCATCAAGCCTAGCTAGAACTTGAGCGCGCGCGCTCAGCGCTCGCGATGGTTCTTGTGAATATATATATATATATATATATATATATATATATATATTTATATATACGTGTGTGTGTGTTTCACGCCCTCGTCATTTTATCTGCGTTCCTACTCCCCGAAGCATATTCCGACTCCTGTTCCGTCGTCCAGTCCGGCACAGTAGGGTTTGGTGTTACGTCTGCACACCCCAAGTCTGAGCTGGCCACAGGCCTCCCGAAACGTGGAGGCATTGCGGCGGTGTGTTCTGATGAGGGCAGTGCCCGTAGGTAAGTTTCCACCCAGTTGTGCACTTCGCGCTTTCTGGTAGTTTTAGCTCTATGGTTCGTTTCAACAACCGCTGCTGGCGCGCAGGGGGTTCAGCGCCGATTGAAAACACCCGCGGGCGATCTGTTCCGCAAACAGTGCTTGTGTTGAGGGGTTCGCTTTCCGTTTCTAAGGAACTGGGCCAGTAGGCGGCCTTGGCGGGCGTGCGGGTCACATTGCAACCAGAACGGCCACTTTACAACCAGATGGGGCATTTGGCAACCAGCATGGGTTTTCCCAGAAGGGCACTTTACAACTAGGAAGACCACTTCACAACCAGGCAATGAACCGCATATAAGCGACACATGTTTTTCAATTTCCGAGAACTTCGTGGGTCTACGCAAGGTAGGCATTTCGCTCTCTGCAGCGTGTTGGTTGTTGTCTGACGCAATGTGTGAACTGGCGGATTCCCTATGGGATCCAACAGGAATCCTACTGGAATCCCATTGGCACCCTTCCCACTGGGATCCGATTGGAACCAGATACATTCCATTGAAATCCAACCATGTGTTTAGCTATGGGGCCTACGGGTGTCCTATTGGGATTCGATAGGGATGCTTCGTATTGAAACCTTTTGGGGCTCTTCCTACTGGAAGCCGATTGGACATCCATTGGGGTACAATCGAGAAACTGTCCTATTGGAATGCTGCGGGAAACGCATCCGGGTACGATATGGAAACCCGGTGGGAGCCTTTATTGGTGTCGATTCAAAACCAGTAGGAACCGTGTCTCTTGGAATCCTATCGGAACCATGTTAGCGAATACGAAGGATATCGCACTGGAATGCACTTGGAACTATTCGTTTCCGATTCATCCTGGCATACTATTGGGATCCCAGCAGGGCCCAACTGTAACCCAATAGGAACCTGCCCTCCTTGAGTCATACTGCAACCCGATTGGCGTCCTATTGTTATCCTTGTGGTATCCTAGAAGAGCTATTGGAACCCAATGAATATCCAAACGGGTTCCTCCCGCTACAGGCTGGTGACAGGCCTGGGCGACTTAAGCCTTTTTGTCGCACCTGTGCCCTACATCTAGACCATTTGTTGCGGCTGAGCCTCGTAATTTCTGCTTGAAAGCCTTGCTTCTTCTGGCAATAGAGGGGCAGTAAACGTTCGCCGCAAAAGGACGCAGAGGAGCACGCGCGCTCCCATGAGAGCGTTCCGAAGCCATTCGGGAAAGTTTATAGGCCACTGGCAAGCCCTCATTGACAATTGGTAAACATTCAGGTCCACTGGGAAGCGCTCAGTTGCCATTGGGAAACGCTCAGAGGCGTTCAGACGTCTCGGCGGCCTCTCCGGATCGCCCATGTGCCCAGGCATCTCTGCATGGCGCTCAGGCGCCCAGAAGCCTCAGAAACTTCTGCAGCGCGCCCAGGCGCTCTCAAGCCTGCCACAGAAGCCTCTGCAGAGCGCTGGGGCAATGTGCTGGAAAGCCCCAGGAGCCGATGAAAAGCGCCCCGGCGCTCAGAAGCCCCAGAAGCCTCTGCAGAGCGTTCAGGCTCTCAGAAACGTGCGAAACGCGCCCATGCTCTCAGAGGCCACAGAAGCTTCTGCAGGGCAGGCGCGCAGAAGCCTCTGCAAAGCGCTCAGGCGTTCATAAGCCTCTGCAGAACGCTCAGGCGCTCAGAGGGTTCTGCTGGGAGCTCAGGCGCGCAGAAGCCACTGCAGAGCGCCTAGGCGCTCGGATGCCTCTGCAGGGCGCTCAGGCGCTCAGAAGCTTCTGCAAAGCGCCCAGGCGCTCAGAAGCCCCAAAAGCTGCTGCAGGGCGCTCAGGCGCTCAGAACCTGTGCAAAACGCCCAGGCGCTCAGAAGCCTCAGCAGAACGCTCAATCGCTCAGGAGCTTCTGCAGATTACCCAGGCGCCGTGAAGCCTCAGAAGCTTCTGCTGAACGCTCACGTGCTTCTGAAGGCTGGTGGTAGAGTGACCGTCCTGGTTGTAAAGAGCCCCGAGTGGGTTGTAACGTGGGCCGTTCTTTTTGTGAAGGGTGCTGCTCTGGTTGTGAAGTTGTCGCTCGCAAAAGGAAAGCCCTAACATTCGACCCTTTGCTGGTTGTAAAGTGGCCCATCTCGGTTGTAAAATGTCGTTCGGGCTGTAAAGAGGCCGAATCTCGCCCTGGCGGTCCCGTTCCTCTCCGTCGCCGCCGTGTTGCCAGATCAAAGACCCGTTCGCTGCCCTGGCGGCCCTGTTCCCCCCCTCGTCGCCGCCGCCGCCCCTCTGCACACCCCCCACCGTAGCATTGCAATAGCATTGTGATCGCATTGTGATCGCGTTGTTTTGTGTTGCTTCGCATTGCGTTGCTTTGCGTCGCTTTACGTTGCCGTGCGTTGTGTTGCATTGCGATGCGTTGCGTTGTCTTGTGCTGCTCTACGTTACTTCACATTGTTTTGCACCAGAACGATTGCCTCCATGTGGATTCGAGAAGACACAGTTTGGGGTCCACGTTTTCGAATCGTGTTCCGAAGGCCGCGTTGTGCCAGCGTCAGGGACAGACGCCCTCTCGCCCTCCACTTCCCCGCCCCGCCCCCTGTCTTTGCCCTCGCCTCCGTCTCGCCCGCCGGGGCCTCCTGCGTTCCTGCCTCTCTGTCGTTTTGCCAATGTTGCTGTCCCCTCCCTCTCTCTCTCTCTTTCGCTGCTCCCGTTTTGCCACCCGGGCCCACCCCGATTGCCCGAGCTGGACGCCGGCAGCGAGGGTGATGAGGGGGCAGGGGGGAGTGGGAGAGAAGGGGATCGGGGGAGGGAGGGTGAGGAGATGGGCCCACGGAGGCACGTCCGATGATCGAAGGGGCTTGGTGATGATGCTCTTGTTGTTATTGTTGGTCGTGATGATGATGCTGATGCTGCTGCCGTTTGTGACGGTGGTGATGATGGTGGCATTGCGGTGATGATGATGATGATGATGATGATGATGATGATGATGATGATGATGATGCGGGTAATGGTGATGTTGGTGACGCTGATGATGATGGTGATGGTGATGTTGATGATGATGATGGTGATGGTGCTGCTGACGATTACGGTAGTGGTGATGATGCTGACGATAACGGTGTTTTTGATGATGGCGATGATGATGATGCTGATGATGCTGATTCTGATGATGATGCTGATGATGGTGATGATCATGATGATATGTATGATCATCATGATCATGATGCTGCTGCTGCTGATGCTGCTGGTGCTGCTGATGAGGATGAGGATGGTGATGATGATGAGGAGGATGATGATGATGATGATGATGCTGATGCTGATGCTGATGCTGATGACGCTGTTTCTGCTGATGATGACGATGATGACAGCGATGATGATAATGCTGATGCTGATGGTGATGATGATGATGGTGATGATGATGAGGGGCTGATGCTGATGCTGTTGCTGCTACTGCTGCTGCTGCTGCTGCTGATGATGATGATGATGATGATGATGATGATGATGGTTTTGGTGATGGTGATGGTGATGATCTGCTGCTGCTGATGGTGATGATGGCGATGATGGTGATGATGATGATGGTGATGGTGATGGTGATGGTGATGATGATGATGATGATGATGATGATGATGATGATGATGATGATGATGGTGGTGGTGGTGGTGGTGGTGATGATGATGATGATGATGATGATGATGATGCTGCTGATGATGATGATGATGATGATGATGATGATGATGATGATGATGATGATGATGATGATGATGATGATGATGATGAGGAGGAGGAGGAGGAGGAGGAGGAGGAGGAGGAGGAGGAGGAGGAGGAGGAGGAGGAGGAGGAGGAGGAGCTGGAGGAGGAGGAGGAGGAGGAGGAGGAGGAGGAGGAGGAGGAGGAGGAGGCGGGCACCGAAGGCAGCCGCGCGCGGGCCATCAGGCAGAGCTCGCGGAGAGCGTGCTCATGGACCAGATGCGGGAGCAGGCTGCACAGGAACGCCCGGCACCGAGCCCCCCGCCGTCGAGGCCTCGAGGGGCTGGGGCGGCCTGCCTGCCGCGCCCCGCCGCGCCCAGGATCGGCGGCGAGATCCGCACCCTGCCCTCGCCGATCAACGATTCGAGGTTTGGGGTTCGAGGCTCGAGGTCTTCGGCGTCTTCGTGGGCTCTCGGCGGCCTTCTGGTCTCGGGGTGCCTTCAGCGGCTGCGCCTCGCCGAGAGCGTGCCCGGGGTGCCCCCCCCGTCGTCCCGAGCGGCCAGCGGAGGCCCGAGTCAGGACCCGGAAGCCGCCAGGGAGGCCAGCAGCCTCGCCGATCAACGAGGTCGGGCCACGCCATGGGCGGCGGGGGCGGGGCCCCGGTAGAGTCGTGGAATACGCGGCGACACCCGAGCCCTATAGGCCTCCCAGATGGGGTCGGAGCAGATGGGGCCGGAGGATAGCGCCGCATCGCCGATGTATCGACGATGCGTCCCGATGCGGAGCCCGACGTGCTTCACGTCTACGTCGCCATTGCATCGCCGACTTCGTCGATGCATCGTCGATGCATCGCCGATGTATCGCCGATGCGGCGCGATCCACCGACCCCATCTACTCCGACCCCATCTACGTAGGAGGCCTCTACGAGCCCTACCCCCACCTCCCATCGATTCAGGAGAGGCGATGGTTGTTGAGGTCGGTATCTTTTAACCGATCCCCATCCCCATCCCCATCCCCTTCGAGATCCCCACCAAATTTCCACCCCAGTTGGGGATACGCCCCTCGAAAACCGGAGGGAACGACCTACATCCCCATCTAGGGGGTAAATCGGCCAGTGGGGCCCAGGCCACGCCGCTGGGGATAGGTATCGGTTAAACGATGCTCATGAGGGTAGAGTTCAGCTGCCACCGCCTACGAAGGCACCCTGGGAGATATTCGGGATGTGGCGGTATCGGTACCTCGTTGCTGCACTAGTCGGAGGCCGCCTCCATAAGGAGGAAGACGTCCTCCTCTCCATCCTTCCTCCTCCCTCCTCCTCCCTCCTCCTCCTCCTTCTCCTCCTCCTCCTCCTCCTCCTCCTTCTCCTCCGCGCGCGAGTCCCTCGGACGGTCGAATCCCTACACAAGAATCTAAGAAGCTCACTCGGACTTCTTCCCCTTGCCCTGGCTCCCCTACCGCGTTCTCACACTTCTCGCACGCTATACTTCGCCACTCACTCTTCTCACAGTCAGTGGCTGGACTGCCCTTCTCGCAAATGTTTTTCTTCGCCTCCCTCTGGGACTTCGGGCGATCCTTCTCTTGATGGCAGCGAATGAGCAAGAGAAAACGAGAGGTTGTTATCGTATTGCTTATGGCGATGCCTAGGGCCGATCGGCGGGGCAAGCCCCGGCCTTTTGAGCCGAGATGCCTTGAGCCTCCTCCTCCTCCTCCTCCTCCTCCTCCTCCTCCTCCTCCTCCTCCTCCCCTCCCCCCCCCCTCCCCCTCCCCCCCCTCCTCCAGGATTCAGGGCCTCGTTTGGGGGTTATGACCCCCGCCTCCAGTCGATTCGGGAGAATCGATGGTTGGTATGGGTCGGGTTCGGATGTCGCCGCCTAAACGGGGCCGGTGATCGGGGGCCCTCGCTGGGCCCCGGGACCGTTGAAAAAGACCCAGGATGAAACACTGGTCGGGGAGCGTGTCAGGAATTTGGCGACCCCGTATCGAAAAAAACCGGGCAAGGCATGTCATGTTTAGGACCCACTTGCCGTAACAGCAGCGGAGTAATCGACTGTCAGTGTGAGGAGTGATTGGGAAATCATGTTGTTCGCCCGCGAGTTTTGCCGGAGGTCCGGGCTTGCTTCGGTAGAAGAGCAAAGAACGGCATAAACATCATCTGTTGGGACTCCGCGAGGGCTTCTTGGATCCCGGGTGAGGAACAGGTGCCCGCACCGCTGCCCTTCCCTCGTTTTGCTCTCTTATGGGCCTCCTTGGACTCCCTCGTCGCCGTCGCTGGATTCGCCTCGAGGCTCTGGTCAGAACGCTCCCTGGGAGAGGTCCGAGGAGCAGCGGTATCGGTACCTTTTGGCTTCCCCCGGTGTGGTGCAGTCTTGCCGGCGTGCAGGCGATTGCGTCGCACCGTGGGCACTCGTCGTTGCTCTGTGCCTACCTCCGCCCGCCCCCTTCCCTTTCGTCCGTCGGCTCCCCGATTCCCTCGCATCGCTCGGACGTGTGCGCTTTTTTCTCGGCGAGGGCCATCGAGGAGGAGCCCAGATCACCGAGCAACGAAAACATGCAATAAACCGAAAAACTGCGCGCGGGATGGACGTCCGAGCGATGGCGAGATTCCCCCTCCACGTCCCTTGCCAGACGCCCAAAAAGTTATGTCCCTGCCGGCATCGGTACCTTTTGGTACCCCAAGGATCGGCGCTGGACCCCCTTGCGGCCAGGGAGGGCGGCTGGTCCCCACCAGAGGCCAAGATAAGTCAGCTCGCCGAAATTAGTGTTGTCTTTTTGCTTCCAGTGCGCAAGCCCGAATGTTACACGCCTCGGGATGAAAAGCCGGTCCCAGGGAATGGGTCGAGACCTCCGGTCGGTGCGATCGAAACGGGTGTGGAAAGAATGGGTACGAAGACCGACAGCAGCCCCTGCTCTTTTTGAACAGACCTTGCTGCCGGTGTCGCCGCGGACGCTGCCCATTTGAGACAGGAGGCCGCCTGCCCAACAGCAGCCGATGTCGGTTTCGGACATCATTTGCTGTTGGGCATCGTGCCCATTTTCTCCGTACTCCTATCGGGCGCCCAAAGAATGTGACACGGCTCATGATGAAAAGCCCGCCCCAGGGAATGGGTCGAGACCTCCAGGGGTCGACGTGAATGAAACAGCACGGCTTCGGGGTCTGGGAGCGTGCTCTGCGGGACACTTTTTTTTTGTTCGCCGGTTTCGGGCTCCGGGGACCGTCCACAGGCCCCAGGGCTGTCAGAGGACAGCTCAGGACGCAGAGCTGGACCTGGGGAAGGCCCCGAGCGAGGGTCCAGGGCCGATTCCAACGGAAAACAGTAACATACACGGTCTGGCTTGAATAAGGAACACTTACTTTTCAAAATGAGCTCGGTCGTTTTTTTTGTTTGCATGCGTTCCGCTACCTTTTTGGCGGCGAGCCCCCCTGGCTTTTTTTCGGACTTCGTAGATTTACTTGGAAAAAAAGGGGCTTCGTTTCATATGTTACCGTTCCGTAGGTCAGGCCGAATACTGTGTGGGAAGCGGAGGGGAAGGCGAACATCCAGAAAGTGTGGGAGATTATGGGGGTTCTGGGGACGTGTGTCCATTTAGTCGTGTGCCACTGGGCCCATTCAAGGATCCGTTCCTGTCATGTCAACCTCTCCAAAGGCCTGTACAGTTAAGTCGGGCCTGTCCCTCTACAGGAGGGGTATCCGAAAATAATCAAAAAATAGTCAGGGGAAGATTTTGTGCATATTTTTTTGAGTATTGTAGGGTATTGTTTGGACAATGTGTTTATTTTTCGTCCACAATCCCCCCGTAGGGGGACAGGCTCGACTTAACAATACAGGTCAGCTCGCCGAAAACAGTTTTTGTGCTTTTCGGCTTCCCGTGCGCAGGCCTGGAGGTTGGCACCCAGGTCGTCCGCAGACGTCGGTTGGACAGGGACAGACTCGAGGGACGGAGGAACCCCCTGCTGACTGCTCCTCCTCGATTCTGGACCCTCGACCCTCTATCCTCAATCTTATTCCTCCTCCTCGTCCTCGTCCTCATCCTCGTCCTGTCCTCCTCCCCCTCCTCCATCCCCCTCCTCCTCCTCCTCCTCCTACTCCTCCTCCTCCTCCTCCTCCTCCTCGATCCTCGATCCTCGATCCTGGAGGTTCGAGGGTTGAGGATTTCTGGCCCCCTCCGGGCCCTCCTCCAGAGCTGCCAGGGCCCCCCGGAGGCTTCTGGGGACCTCTCTCTGGGGGCCTGCTGGCAGGCCCCGGGCAGTGAGGCACCGCGGCTCTGGGCCGATCCCAGATTCAAGTGCGTGGACGTCGCCCGGGACTTTACTGGAGGGCAGGTGTGCGCGGAGTGGCGCCACGCCTCGGGCCTCGTCGTCTCCGCCCTCGCCTTCGTCTTCTTCGCCCCTCTCGTCCTTGGCGCTCGCCCCCTTTCTCGTTTTGTTTCCCCTTCCCCTGGCACTCCCTATCGTCTGCTCGGGATTCCGTCTGGCCACGTTGCCTGTCCTCCAAGACGTAGGTTCCCGGTGGGCAAAGGGCGTACGGAGTCGGAAGACGCCCAGCGGAATTGCCAACCTGATTCCTCCCACCCGTTAGTGCGAGCAATTCCCTTCATCTAGTTTCTATACTTCTGGTCCTCCCCTATCATCCTCCTCTTTCTCCTCACCCCCGTTGTCGTCGTCCTCCTCCTCCTCCTCCTTCTCCTCATCCTGTTCCTTTCCCACTTCTCTTTTCGCTTCCTTGTTCCTCCTCTCTTCGCACACCTCGCCATCGCACCGTCTTTCTCCTCCTCTCCTGCTCTCACCTCATCCCCTGTGGCCTGGTAGTCCAGTCTGTCAGAGGCATGGACTGATATGCTATCTTTGTTATCCCCGAATCCCTGTCTTGATGCGAAGACCCAGCAAGCAGTGCAGTTTACGTAGGCACCCCAGGGCCCAGAAGACGCCCCTTGGATAACCACGCTCGGAAACGGAAATCAAAGATGAGGAGGATAACGGGCAGCAGGAGGGGGAGAAGGATAATGAGGAGGTGGAGGAGGAGCTGGAAAGCTCGCTCTTCATGCCTGGTCAGTGTCAAAGGAGGAGCTGGACGAGGACGGCTGAGATAATGTTGATGGCGAGGGCGGGGGTGCGAGGACAACCATGTGAGAATGATCAGGATTTCGAGGAGGAGGAGGAGACGGAAGAGGAGGCGGAGGAGGAGGAGGAGAAGGATGAGGAGGAGGAGGAGGATAAGGAGGCCTCTACTTGGACCCTGTGTACACTGCATGATGCCAGCTGCCTGCTGCAAAAGACCCTGCCACCGTGCCAGTGCAGCAGC